CCCAGGGCAGCCTTGATTTTGGCCCTGGATTTACTTGTGAACAAATTTCATATCTGGTAACAATGTCTTTTGTTATTTTGTCAAGATCTTGGATGTAATAATATTTTTTAAAAGTTCAGTTAATTTTGTGGATCCAACGTGTGTTCCTTGATGTATCTGTTTAATCGGCAACCTGCCTAGAGCCTGTGGCAAATAAGTCCTGTGGTCCGGCAGAATTTTCTAATTCATGGCATTGTTGGAGGCTTTTAAGATCTTAGCGTGTTTTACTTCTTCTTTAGTACAATGGTGAGTCGGTGGCAATTGAGGTGCTGGAATGACCATTAAAGAATCAAATGGCCCCACTGGTTTTAACGTGGCCTCTTTGGCAGTCAAATCTGTAGCAGCGTTGCCTTGGGTCTCAAACGAGTTATCTTTCAGTGCCCCAGACAATGTATGGTGGCCACTCTTTTTGGATACCATATGGCCTTAAGGAGGGCTAGTGTTTTTGTTTTATTATTTATTTATTTACTTAGTTATTTATTTTCTGATGTTAACAGTCCTCTCTGTTTGTATAAGGCCCCATGAACATGGGCAGTGGCAAAAGCATATCTGTTGTCAGTATATATGTTAACAGTTTTATCTTTTCCGTGCTTTAAAGCCTGTGTTAGGGCTATGAGTTCAGCCTTTTGAGCAGATGTTCTTTGGCTTAAGGCTTGAGCCCAAATGACCCGATCTAAAGTTACCATGGCTGTCCCGGCATACCTGATTCCACTGGAGATGAAACCGCTTCCATCAGTGAACAGCATTTCATTACGCTCTGTCCAGGGAATATTAGTCAGGTCCGGCCGGAGGCCTGGGAGAGTCTCGATTGTTCCGAGGCAGTCATGGGCAGGCGTGGATGGGTTGTCATCCAGGAGGAGGGTAGCTGGATTTAGAGCTGTGGTTTTTAGGGGCTGATCTAGAAGTAAAGCCTGATACTGGGTGAAGCAGGAGTTGGTGAGCCAACGTTCAGGTGCACTTTGTAAAAGAGTCTGTACAGAGTGGGGGTCCACTAAGCATATGTCTTGTTGGCCTCTTTTATCAGTAAAGCAGTTGCCGCTATGGCTCACAGACAGGTTGGCCATCCTGTGGCTACACTGTTCAACCTCTTGGAGAGGTAGGTGATAGGCTTCTTCCATGGTTCCAGGGCTTGGGTGAGCACCCCCTTGGCAATGCCTCACATCTTGGCAACTAACAAGCTGAAGGGCTTCATCGAATAAGGTTGGGGAATTTTAAAATCCTTGGGAGAGATGAGTTCAAGTTAATTGTCCAGAGTATCCTCCCAGGGTCAGTCCATTCAAAGGCAAAGAGAGGTTGGCTTACTTTGGCCAGCGGGACGCTGAAGAAGGCATCCTTAAGATCTAGCTTTTTGGTTTGTTTCTCTTCTGGAATACCTGTCATTGAAGACCCTCTGGGCAATTTCAGCCAGCTCAGGTAACAATTTTCCTTTAAATCCTTCCTGTCTTTGAAGCTTTCTCCTAATGTCTGGGGCTGACTGGGTAACAAAGGCAATATTTATCACCTGCCTGGTTTTCTGGGGTCTCAGGGTCTACAGGAGTGTAGGTCCTGTTAGCCTCCTTAAGGTGTTCCAGGAAAGCGGTGGTGGTGGGGGGGTTGTTTGGTCCCTGAATAGTTTCTCTTACTTTTGATAGGTTAGTGGGCTTCTGGGCTGCTGTGCGGAGTCCCCTAAGGAGAGTCTGGTGATACAGGTCGAGAGCCCCCTTACCTTGGTCCGTGTTTGGGTCCCACCCGGGTCTGTTAGAGGGGAACACGCATTCGAGGTGAATGGGGTCATCGGAGGGTCAGCCATTGTGACCGGTAACAGTTTTCAGGGCCTCCCCCCAGATCCACTTGCTTTCTTTTGACATGAAGAGAGTCTGCAGGAGCTGCTGACAATCATCCCATGCAGGCTGGTGGGTAAAGGAAAACAGTCTCCAGGAGGGAGATGAGGCCCTGCGGTTTTTCTAAGAAAGAAGGATTTTGATTTTTCCAATTGTAAACCATGAAGGGAGCCTGGTCTTGAGGAGTTCCAGGAGGCAAGGGAGCATGTTGGAGCAAGAGGGGAGTTTGGAGGAACGGCAGGGAGAGGACTGGTGTGCAGTGCCACTCCAGGTATGCAGAGGGGAAGATCAGGTGGGGGAGCGAGGGGGGTGGTTGGAGGAACGGCAGGGAGAGGCAGTGCCACTCTGAGTATGGGAAACAGGCAAAGAAAGTCCAGAAATACACCCATAGTTCTGGTCAATTGGTTGTTAACAAAGTTGCCAGAGCAATTCTTTAGGAAAAAGCTATGTGTATGCCCTGAAAACTATTTACACTACCACTTAAGTATTTTATTTATATCTACCTAAATGTTGACTCTGACAACTGTTACACTGTGGAGTTAACAAGGATATATATATATATATGTATATATATATATTTTTTTTTTTTTAATAAAGATGACCGGTAAGGGGATCTCAACCCTTGGCTTGGTGTTGTCAACACCACGCTCAGCCAGTGAGCTAACCGGCCATCCCTATATAGGATCCGAACCTGCAGCCTTGGTGTTATCAGCACCGCACTCTACCAAGTGAGCCACGGGCCGGCCTGTATATATATATTTTTAAGTAATGAACAGAGTATGCTTTCTTTCTTTTTTTTATTTTTATTTTTTATTTTAAAAGATGACCGGTAAGGGGATCTTAACCCTTGACTTGGTGTTGTCAGCACCACGCTCATCCAGTGAGCAAACCGGCCATCCTTATATGGGATCCGAACCCGGGGCCTTGGTGTTATCTGCACCGCACTCTACCGAGTGAGCCACGGGCCGGCCCCAGAGTATGCTTTCTTAGCTGCTTAATTCACATTTTTCTGAAGTGTTTTGTCAGTTAGTGCTTTCAACTAACTTAAAAGTAATGTTTTCCCCTTTTTCTCCATGAGTGGAAAGATAACAAACAAACCTGTGTTTAACAATAAGGTCAGCAGAACATAAAGTAACAAAAGCCAATAAATCAAAAATGAGGTTGACATTCTGGGACTAATCTAGCAGCCCTACAACAGTTTTTCAAATTCTTTACTTTGGTTACAGTATATTCAGAGATTAAATCATTGCTGTTATGAACTACTGCTGTTTAACTTATCATCAACCTTCCCCAAATTTTTAAATCTTCTCCAGTGAAGGGAGAATAAATTATTAAAGGAAACACTCTTAGCTTATTTTTAATTTTTAAAGCTACCTTGGGTCTTCTGAGGCATCAGAGAGTACGGGAGGCACTGTAGGGGAGGCGCTCTTCTTCAGAGAAGCTGGAAGAGAAGGCTTAGTTAAAAGCACAGATGGCGTTCTATTTCCATTCACCTTGGGCCTTTTTTTAAGGCACCTTTTTAGTCATGATGGCTTGTCAGAGATTGTATCAGTCCAAACCTGTATGGAAGGGGGTTGTCCCATAGACTTGTTTGGAGGAATTTTGTCCCATTTGTTATATAAGACCACAGTTAATGACACACAACTGGCAACACACAAAAGACAGACAAGTGGCCACGTCCAAAATTATTCTAAAATATCCACAGGCACAACAATCACAATGACAAAGACGAACAAGGAACATGGAAACACAATTCCTATTGACTTGCAAGCCCCCAATCCAAATCCAAATTACCAGTGGGCCCAGCGACATCTCAGGAGCCCAAGGACTAGGGGACTTAATGCTGCGTCCAGCCTCCCACTAAGTCCAACCATTGGTGCACCATCCCTTACTGAGATCTCACCTACCTGGGGAGAGAGTAAAGTGCCCCATCTGCCCCAAGGGAGAAGAAGAGGAACAGCTTCTCTATCTACTCCTGGGAGATAAGTGCAGGGAGGGATATACTCACAAGAGAAAGAATCTCGCTGGGGCCTCCAAAATGTTGTGAGGCCCCCTCCCATAAGGAATGCACTTGCACGCCACTCGTGCGGAAAAGGGCAGTTGATTCACTCCAGCTGGCCAGTGACCGTCTCCCAAGGAGCAATCAAGGAAGAGTGTCATAGGGCTTTGGTCTTGTGGGGTTTTTAAAGGCAAAAACTACATCCCGTTGGCACACGGGTTTGTCCAGGTGCACAAAGAAAGCTAGGGAGCTAGGTCACAGAGGCCGAGAACGAGCCGTTAGAGCAATCAAGTAAACAACTTTTCATTGCATATGTTCCCACATAATAGTTCACTGTGTATGGTTCCTGTACCCACGTGGTAGTTCGCTGTGTGTGGCTCCTGTTCCCACGTGGTAGTTCACTGTGTGTGGCTCCTGTTCCCACGTGATAGTTCACTGTGTGTGGCTCCTGTTTCTATGCAACAGCTTTTGTTTCTATGAGAAGGTCAACGGTTTCTGGTGCAGAAGGAGGGGGTAGTCTGCAGGTCAGACAGGGGGTAAAATGGAGTTACTTAGGTTAAGCAAGCAATTCTACCAAAGCAGATAGCATATGCTATGAGGGTGTGGGGAGCTGTATTTCACATGGAGTGGGCCCGGGGCAGCATGGGGCACAGAGGCGGGCAGAGGAGGTATCTGTACTGAGTCTTAAAGAGAAAAGAGAAGAATAAACGCCAAAACAAAACAAAAACAAAGGAGAGGGAGGAGGCTGGAAAGGCATTCCAGACGGAGGGAGGACATGATCAAAGACACAGAGGTCAGACACAGCAAGTTTGGGGACTCGGTGACAGTGGTTGGCTGTGGCTGAAAAGGTAGGGAGAGGCCAGGGCACCTCGTCCTTGTAAACCTTTATAAAAGGGAGCAACTGTTTACCCAAGGCAGGGAGGTGCTCAGTCAGTGGTGCGTTATAGAAAGGAGGCCGCTGGCAGGGGGGTGGGCAAGCCAGAGGGACCCCTGAAGGAGGGTGATACAGGACTAAGCCCGGAGGGAGTCAGGACAGCAGGGTCCCGGTGACTAGACCCTTTCCAACCCACTCTCCCAGGCCTCCAGGCCTCCCGGAAAGGGACAGGAGCTGAGAGCTTAGGGTGGGTGCTGTGTCTCCGCAGGGGAGTGAATGCCCAAACCAAGAACGGTGCCACGCCCCTGTACCTGGCGTGCCAGGAGGGCCACCTGGAGGTGACGCAGTACCTGGTGCAGGAGTGCGGCGCGGACCCGCACGTGCGCGCCCACGACGGCATGACCCCGCTGCACGCGGCGGCGCAGATGGGCCACAGCCCGGTCATCGTGTGGCTGGTGAGCGCGGGGCCTGAGCGGGACCGGGGCGGGGCCGGGTGGGACCGGGAGGGGCCTGGCGCCCAGTCCCCGCCCCTCTTTCGCCGCCCCCTCCCGCCCAGGTGAGCTGCACCGACGTGAGCCTATCGGAGCAGGACAAAGAGGGCGCCACGGCCATGCACTTCGCGGCCAGCCGCGGCCACACCAAAGTGCTCAGCTGGCTCCTGCTGCACGGCGGCGAGATCGCGGCAGACCTGTGGGGCGGGACCCCGCTGCACGACGCCGCCGAGAACGGGGAGCTGGAGGTCAGAGGGGGGCCGGGGCGGGCCCGGGGCGGGGCCGGGTGGGACCGGGAGGGGCCTGGCGCCCAGTCCCCCCCCC